CAAATATGGAAGGAATCCAAACAAACCAATCCTATCCTAATATGACTCTAACTACCATATACTCTAACAGAACTAAGCATGCATATTGCTTAAGAGAGAGAATGGAAGATTAATCTGGGCTCCTCGATGTGGCTCCAATGCAACTATCAACAGGTGATCCACATGTTATTTCAGCACAAATGGTCCACGGGTTGGCTCTCCTGGAGAAAAATAAAATGAAAAAGAGAGAAAACGAAATCGTTCCTTGCCGCCGTCCTGACCAAGCCATCATCACGACCGAGACAGAGCCATTGTCGCCCCAGTCATGGCCAAGCCGCAACCTTCCTCCTTCTTTCTCCCCTAGCGTCATAGCCATCACTACGCCGCAACACACCTGCACCACTCCAACCTCCTACCAAATCCGGCAGCCCCTAAGCCGGATCTGACACTGACCGGGCCTGAGAGGGAGAGAGGGGCGGTCGAAGTGTGGAGAAGGAGAGGAAAAGAGGGTGGTGGCGACTGCTTGCTCCCTCGCTTCCAAGGCTCCGAGCGGTCGGATCCACCTGCAAGAAACCAAACCCCGGATCGACAGCTCGTGAACAGATCAGGCGCCACAGCAAGCGGGGTGGAGAAGATGGTAGCGGCGGCTCACATCCCTTTCGTCCGAGCAGCCAAATCAGCTAGCGAAGAGATCGGGGTCGCCGGATTCAGCGGCCCGGGCCTCCTCGCTAGCAAATGCAACGGCCTGACTGGGGAAAGAGGCGGGCGCCGAGGGTTGGAGGAGGGTGAGGCGGCGACGTGCTTGAGGGGAGAGAGGCGGGCGCCGGTGGTGGGAGGAGGTGAGGCGGCGACATGCTTGAGGAGAGGAGGGCGAGGCTAGGGGAGGCAGCGCGGGCGAGAAGAGAGCCGCGCGGCTGAGGCTGTGGGAAGGAAGCTAAGGTGGCTAGGGTTCTTCGCAAATCCAGGCCGTCCGTTCCCGATCCAATGATCCGACGATGGTGGAAGGGTAGTCAGGCTGGGACACGTGGATGGCCAGATCGACCTTAGCATGCGATCCGACGGCCCACGTTAATGGGGATGCACATGCTATTAGCGGAAAGAGAAAGGGTTTTTCTGAAAAAAAACGATGACATGGCGCTCTAAATTTTCACCGCTCCCACGGTGTTTAAGTAAAGTAATATGTACTCCATGCATGTATGTAGCCGCATGCCTATTTTTCGGCTTGGAACTCATACATATATATGCACTGACCAGTATTCTGGAAATCGATTCCATCTTTAAGGGCCCAGTTTATTATTGCACACGCCCTAACTACGTACTTCTGTTAACTTTGTTTAGCTTTCTTCCTTAATTTTAGTTAGGGAATCTTGGGGTGCATGTAGTATAATCTAGCATCGACTAAAAACAACAAGAGTAATACGATCGAGCACAGTGCTCTACTACTGCTGTCATGTTCTGTGAGAGGTATACACTTAAAAGATCTAATGGTTAACATGTGTAGTTATATATCTACGGAACATTGGATTTTTTCTCTTGAAAATATAATACTACTTTACTTTACATGATGAGTTATATATAGTTTCTCCAGTAAATACTACTCCGGCTCTCCATTCCTAATTGATCATCATCAGGGGCGGATCCAACGTGGGTGCAGGGGGGGACTTGAGTCAAGTCCCCCTAGACCCATGGATACTCCCGGAGTACCTCCTTCGATTTTTTTACTATGAATGATAAACTAAAGATCCCTAAATGGTTAGAGGTTGAAGAAACTGCGTAATTGAGCCCCCCTAATTTTTTGTTACTGGATCCGCCCCTGATCATCATATTATATGAGTACATCAAGACTAAATAAGGAAAACTAATAACTCTACCGTGCATGATCATGTAGCATGCACGAGATGGAGCTCTATGAATAGCACTAGCTAGAGGCAGATCATGCATAGGGTAAATTATTTTTGAAGAAAGATGCATAGGGTAAATTAATTTATGAAACGATAGGTAGCTAGCTATAAGCAGATCATGCATAAATCCAATGTACTATCAGTCATTTAGCAAAGACGCGGTGAGATTGAGGACATAACATGACCTGGATCAAGTATATATACTACTGCAATTACTACAGTACTGGTGATTAATTCGATCGACGGTACTGCATACTCCCTCCTGTTTCATTTTAATTGATGTTTTAGACAATGACACGGTCTACGAGATACATCTTTGACTTTATTTTTCTATTATAATATATATATAATAAATAAATGCATGTTTACTTTTTTATAGTACTTTAAAAGACAAATCTATATATGTTGTTCTAGTTTCTTTAAACTAAATATTTTTAAAGTTATTAATAGTCTAAGTTATAAAAGTTTGACTTCAACCTTGTCTAAGTTATAAAAGTTTGACTTCAACCTTGTCCAAAACGTCAATTAATATGGAACCAGAGGGAGTATACTGTCAAGGCTAAACCTATTTCTGTATAGTACTACCACTTTACTATAGATGTACTACATGCATGGTAGAGAAGTGATTAACAACTTAATCACTCGATAATTAAAGTAGTCAGCGCTTGTAACATCACGCATGCATCTGATTGGCTGTGATGCTCACATGCGAGTTGAGCTGTGAAAAAAATTAACTACTCCAACTGTGGTCGATCGATGTGACGGCTGGTCGCAACGTGCGCGTAATACTGCACTAGAATAACAACTCCTGCTCCTGCTAGTCCCCCTACTTCTGGACACGGACACCACCATTGGCGCTGAACGCTCCCTCGACATTTTATATTATTTATTTAAACTGCTACTCTAAACGGTGTGTTTTATAAAAAAAACTAATATATACTCCCCGTTTCAGGCTACAATATGTTTTTGACTTTTGGTCAAAATCAAACTGCTTCAAATTTAACTAAGTTTATAAACACATACAGTAATATTTACATTACCAAATTAGTTTTATTAAATTAATAATTAAATATATTTTTATAATAAATTTATCTTGGACCGAAAATATTACTTTTTTTTTCTACAAACTTGATCCAGTTTGATTTTGACTAAAGTCAAAACATCTTATAACCTGAAATAGAGAGAGTATATATATAGTTGTTTTAAAATATGAATTAAATCTATTTTCAACTTTATAGTGGTAATTAAAAATTCAATTAACCACATGTTAATGTTTTTCTTGTCTTTATATCTTAATTTCGTCTTTATCTTCAGTGAAAACAAACATCACCAATATTCTCATATAGTGGTATATGTATATGTATATCCATGCATCCATTAGTGCTTGCATATGGATCGATCGAGCTGGTGTCCGTTCTGTTGTGGTAGTACTAGTTAGCTAGTTATTAGCTAGTTACTCCCTCCGGGTTGATAATACTTATCGTTTTGAATAAGGGTAGCTAGCTAGTTACTCTCTCCGGGCTGATAATAATTGTCGTTTTGAATAAGGTAAGGTCAAACTTTAGAATATTTGATTATGAATCATTTTTAAAATATTTGTCTTTCAAATATAGTGACTACATGTATAAATTGGTCTTAAAAAGTACTCCCTCCATCCCATAATATTAGGGATTTTGAATTTTTGCTTACAACGTTTGACCACTCGTCTTATTCAATTTTTTTTGAAATTATTATTTATTTTATTTGTGACTTACTTTTTTATCTACCGTACTTTAAGCACAACTTTTCGTTTTTTATATTTTCAAAAAAAATTTAAATAAGACGAGTGGTCAAACGTTGCAATCAAAAACTCAAAATCCCTTATATTATGGTACTGAGGGAGTACTTTAATAAAATCATATATTTATTAACACTGTTTTACATATTATAATAGAAAATAATGGTCAAAGTTGTTTTTTAAGACCGTACCTGTCGACGAGGGATACTTGCGGACCGGATGAGTTAAGTATTGGGATACGTTGGAACGAGAGTCTACGTAGTACGACATCAAGCAAACAAAAGACAAGGATTATACTGGTTTAGGGCCCTTATCAGGTAATAGCCCTAGTCCAGTTTATATGAGATTGATGACGATGAGAACAGATTACAAAGAGAGTAGTCGAAACAGATGGTACCGACAAGATCGTAATCGAAAGATTCAACGAGATCTCCCGGCGACTTGGTTCCGTGCACTCCGGCTTCGTAAACTTTGATGGGTGTGTGTTCAATGAGATGCGATGGATCCTACCACCCCCTAGAGATCCCCTTTTATACCATGGATTATCTTGACCCCCAAGCCAAGCTTGAGGATATGTAATCTGGCACGATATAGTAGAGATTCTATCCCCCTCGAATAGGACTCTGGTAGTTTCTTTAACTCTTAGAGATATTTTCCATAATTTGAGATAAATTCCTAACGGCATATACGGAAACGATCCGTGCACGTGAAGGTATACCTTATCGGTATATTTCATAAGTCGTAGGATAGAGGGTATGGCTTATCCGTAATCTTGACAGTACCCTTATCTAAAACGACAAGTATTATCAATATGTAGAGAGTAGTTTGTCAATTACTCGTATTTTTCAGCAGTGCTGGCATGCATGTTGTGTTCATGAGAACAGTACACATATGCATGAATCATTTTTCTACTGGTGATGTGTCCCCAAGTCAAGACTTTCAAGTCCAACAGAAATACTCCTACTCTACTATTCCAAGTGAGATACTAGTGTCTACTGTTGCCTGCTCCTGCAGCCCTTGTCGACTACGACTCCGACTCGTGTTCAATCTTTCTCTGTCTCTCTTGGTTACTCCAGATCTGTTCCAGGACAGGCCACCAGGTAGCTAATCTAGCTAAGCTACAGTAGTAGTACACACTACAGTACAAAAACATGCAAAACAGTCCTACTTGCTCACGACTGAAACCAAGTACGGTGCGCTGCAGTAGCTAGCTAGTACGTTTCGATCCCTCTTGCATCCAACGAACACAACGCATTTTGCCTATTGCAACTAATTAAACACAAATTAAGATCGATCGTGACGATCGAGATCACCAAATCAGACCAATCATCATCATATATATATTGGCAAAATCATGCATGGATGCACACTAATATTGGCATAATAATCAACAATGCGCAAGTGCTGGAATTCAGTCATCAGATTTCAGACAGCACAGTCGAGCATGCGGGAGTACATCCATCGATCATCATATGATCGATGAGGACGGTCACGGACTTATATATATATATATATATATATAACTGAAATAGTAATTAGCTAAGAGAGAGAGAGAGAGATTCAATTCAGAGGCCGATGACGTTTCTGGAGGTGGTGACGCCGCCGTCGACGACGAGGTTGTGGCCGGACACGTACCTGGACTCGTCGCTGGCCAGGAACACCGCCGCCTCCGCGATGTCGCCTGCCCGCAGCGTCGGCCCCTTGAGCGTCGCCAGCCTCCGCACCATCTCCTCCATCTTCTCCACCTCCTCCTCCTCGCTCGCCGCCGCCTGATCCTCATCCGCGTGATCTCCTCCCTGCCCCTGCCGCCACGCGTTCACCAGCATCGGCGTCGCCACGCCGAAGGGGGAGATGCAGTTGACGCGGATGCCGTGCTCCCCGAGCTCGCAGGCGGCGTTCTTGGTGAGCCCCACTAGGGCGTGCTTGGAGGCCGTGTACGCGTGCGGGCCGAGGCCGCCCAGCACGCCCGCCACGCTCGCCACCGACACGATGCTCCCGGAGCGGCGGGGCACCATGGCACGCGCCGCGTGCTTCATTCCGAGGGCGGCGCCCAGCGCGTTGACGCGCAGCACGCGGGCGAACTCGGCGGCGTCGAGGGACGCGATGCTCTTGGCGCCGCGCGTCTGGCGGCCCAGCACCCCGGCGTTGTTGCACAGCACGTCCAGGCGGCCGTGCTGCTCCAGCGTGGTGGCGACGGCGCGTTCCACGTCGGCCTCCTCGGCCACGTCGCAGTGGACGTAGGTGCAGGCGTGCGGGCCGAGCGCGGCGGCCAGCGCGTGGCCCCCGGCGTCGTCGATGTCGGCGACGACGACGAGAGCGCCGTGGTGAACGAAGGCCCTTACGATGGCTTCGCCGATGCCACGCGAGCCGCCGGTGACGATGGCCACCTTCCCCTCCAGCCGCCTGCAAATCGAAGAATGAATTACTCGCGCGCTGATCGATCGATTGAAGAATGAATTAGCTAGAGTAGTAGAAATGAATGGATGCCTGGTATTGTGTAGTATGGCGTTGTCGGCGGCGGCGGGGAGCTGGTGGTGGTGGAGGAGGCCGGTGGATGACTGCTTGTTGTTGTCGTCGTCAGCTGCAGGCATCAAGTCGACGGCGGTCATTGCGACGCAAGCTCTTTCTCTCTCTTGTCGATCAATCGTCTGATGAGAGGCAAGCAAGGCAAGGTGGTTATCGATCGATCGAGCGCGTGGCCGTATGTGTATATATACTCCCTCCTTCCCTAAATGTTTGACACCGTTGACTTTTTTAAACATATTTGACCGTTCGTCTTATTTAAAAGAATTAAGAATAAGACGAACAGTCAAACATTTTTAAAAAAGTCAATGGCGTCAAACATTTTGGGACGGAGGTAGTATATATATAGAGAGAGAGACACATGTAGCTAGTGTACAGGTGCATGAGATCGATCGATGACAAATTGACAATGCGTGGATGGATATACTCCTATCACATATGTCATGGACCCATGACATATATGCCACGTATGTAGTACGTCCCTTCTTACATGGAGTATATATCGATCCGTCCATATACCGATATCCATCCAACCATGGATCGATCGGTCATCGGTTGGTGGGGAGGATATATATATATATGTTCCATTGCAATTCTTGCTTCCATCCATCGATCACAATGCCATGCTTTTATTTGTCCGCATGCAACATCCTTACAAGCATGTATCTACTTTGCTTTTAGAGAGACAGAGACAGAAAAAAAACAAACATGCACCCACCCATCCATATATATCGTTGTATGGATGCTTTGCTGACAACTTTTCTTATCTATTAGTTATGCATCAGACAGACATTACACTGACCGATTTGTACGCGTATATATGTACACCTTTTCTTTCTATCTTTTCTGCATGCCGTCCCTCAATAATCCGTCTCATTCTTCGGACAACAACCTATGTCTCCGAAAGAATCAATTTTTATTTCTTTTTACTAAGGAAGAGTAAAAACTTTGTCTTTTATAATGATAGATAAGGAGAAAAAGGCCGCGACAGTAAAATTTATAGGGTATATCAAAAGAACAGATCCGCAAGAAAGGATGAGGGAACCACGGAACTACTCGCTAGAGGGGATAATCTCTGTGAGCTTTGTAGCCCCTGCCATGATCCAATTCTGCGCCTCCTCGTTGATCTTGGCAATGATGGTGCTTGGTGTAGTAGCAACATGCCTGGACATCCTGGTATTTCGCTCACACCAAAGCTCACATGTCACCAGGATGATTATTGATTTTAGGGCCTTTCTCGGAATGTGAGGCATGTAGCCAAAAGATTTAATTTATACTACCAACCCTCCAGTGATGAGCAGTCAACCCACTCTTCAATTCAGAGGTCGATATTTGTCCATCATTGAACCTATGTCCAAATCCTCTTTGACAATCTACACTTTGCGATCAGTTGTAGGGTTGATTTAGCAAATGCCGAGGACATTGTTATTGGTTCGTCCAACCACTTTTCTGTAGTTTGTCTATCATCCAGACCCTATTATGTACAATTAACTATGAGAAGAATTTGCATTTAGGCGAAGCTCAACATTTCTAGTTTGTCTGGTTGTTGATTGTTTCTATCCATCCCCATGAATTATAGCCTGTATGTAGATTTGGTCGAGTAGACTCCATATATATTGGACGTGAGCTTCCAGATAATGGCATCCCTTTGCACGCTCAAAGGTCCCACGCAATATATTGAAGAGGTACGTTTAAGACAAACAACAGCCGGTATGTAGTCCATCTTTTCTTTTAGCTAAATTAAGGTATAAATGGCTTTCTTTGGCTAATTTTCTTCATTGAACTGGAATTGAGCAAAAGTGACAGGGGTTAAAATTAATTTGTTCTTTCAGCCGTTGCACTCAAACAAAAAAGAACGAAGTAATTAGTACTAAAACTATTCAGCCGCAACAGCTATTGAGTATCATTGTCAAATGGAACCGTGCACGGAACTTAATTGGGCTAGCGCGCTAATTAATTAATACTATCACATTGCATTGGTCCATCCATAGCCCTGTCTGTCAAATCATATCGATCGATGATACATACATGCTTACTAAAATTATATACGATGCTGATCTTTCTGTCCTAACTACCTACTAATAGTTCCCAACCATTTCAGATCATATATCTTGCTGTCGACAGGGGTGCGCACAAGTTCGGTTAGGCCGGCCTTGTGAGTTATTTTCTTCTTTTCCTTTTAGTTTTTATCTTCTTGCGAAGATATTAGGAGGTATATCATATTTTCCAATGTAATTTTTGGTACCAATTGAGATTTTATATAATGTAAAACCTTGATATCTTTAGATATTTTCTCAAAGTACCATAATTTTTTTTCAAAGAAAAAAAATAAAACCCGGCCTCCACATGATAGTAAATGTCATAGACATGGCACATACCTAATGCCTAGCCTATAACCTCTTTGTACATTCTCTTGATTAATTAGCCTCCTAGTTGCAGTGGTTAGTTAGAAATTAGTTAAACTAATAAAGTCAAAAAAATTGAGCAAAGTAGTAGTATCACACACATATAGTATTACCTAACCAGATGTCTTGTCGATCTGATCCCTGCATATCTGCACGCGTGCATGCATGCATGCATGGTACCTAAATCCCTAAAGAAATGGAGTCGATCGACCCCAAATTTATTGTAACTAATCAAATTACTAGCTCCTTTTTAACGTGTATGATACCATTGATTTTTCGTAAAACATTTAATTATTTATCTTATTTAAAAAATTAATATGACAAAAAAATCACAATAAAATAAATGATATTTTTAATAAAATGAATGATTAAATATTTTGGAAAAAAGTCAATCACGTCGTGCATATTGAAATAGAGGGAGTAAGATTTATATGTCCTTGTTAGCCTATTGTTGCATGTATGCTGCCTAGCTTTTCTGTAAAACAATAGCTAGCTCGTGGCATCGAATCTTCAGCTGGACTTATAAGTTTAGCTACGACCATTTTATGGGCAGAAATTAATTAAGCTAAACGATTGGGTTATAAGCAACAGGAGAAATACAAGATCGACTATATCTCACCATATACATAAATAACTTTGCAATTAAGCAGACACTTTGACCATCGTATCGATCAGTTACAGAGAGGCAGCGCGATTAATTATTACTACTACATATACACACATATACGGTAGGTTTGTGTATCTTTTGAGAGCTCCATGCACGCATGGTTGTCATGCACTAGCTAGCTAGCTTAATTTAATTACAGGTGTGATCCATCAAACTGAATATTTTCCGACCACGAGCTAGCTAGCTAGCTAGGGACGAAGATTCCTTTAATAACGGATTATATTAATTAATTGGTTTCCTAAAGACAACAACTTAACAATGATATATATGTGTTGTTTGGATATAGTAACACCGACAAATTGATCGGTATTATTGGATTACCGCTGGCTGTACAATATATGTTTTTTTTCCACATCATAAAATGTTTTGGTTTTAAATAGATTTATGTGTGAATCCATGTATGTGCCTCATATATGAGTCCAAATTCAAATGTGGATGTTAGTAAATCTAAATAAGTGATGGAAAAATTGAAACCTAATGGAGGGAATATGGCTAAGAACTTAGACAATGCTTTTTATTACGGTTTTTTATAGTGTTTTCGTGTTACAACACAAAATAAGCTCAAATATATTCGAATCAATGTGTTATAATTCAATATTATATCCATTTCAAAATAAGTTTATTCTTCATGTGAATTTCAGAGTTATGTACAAAAGTAAAATTATTTTAGAATGAAGGGAGAGTAGATAATAGGTACAGTACGTAGTATATGCATATATAGCATATTAAAATGTCTATTGATCGATCGTCTATTAATCAAGTTAAATTACTTGTAATTGTAAAATAAATCATAACAAAACAAACGGTAATTAGATAACTTTTTGAAAGAGATAAATGATCAAACTTATATATATTTAAAAATTAATAGTCATGCAGTGTATACGTATTATTTTAGAACATCGTATATAATTGAAAACAAAGCTAATAATGCTTCAGGCTTGGCTGGATGCATGGGTAGTTAATATACTTGCTAGCTACTCCTAACATGAGTAAATTTTTCAGGTGAACTGTAGACCTAGCTTATTATGCAAGTAGATACGCATAATTATTGGTACAGAGCATATATACATGTATACTAACCGCATAGCATATACAGTATATATGCAGAATTAGTACTGATGCATAGTATACGTAGTAACTGCACGCAGGGCTGACTACGCAAGTGAGAAAGACAGTACAGTACAGTAGTATATGAGTATATAGTAGCTACTTCAGCTAGCTAGTTTAATTAGCCTCGTGTCGTGCGTGCGCATGCCACATACTAGTACTCCGTATATACTACTGTACATATGTAATGTATATACGTGTATGTATGCAGCAATTATATATGACGCACGTACGTCGTTCATTCAAATCAGCCCATATACATATATATGGTTCCGGCGAAAAATATATATCTGCCGGCCCATATTCAAATGCATACTTTTGTGCTTAATTTCTTTGGGCCCAAACTAAAACAATTAAGGCAAGCCAACACGTTCCTACGTACGCGCGCGCGCCTTTTTCTTTCGACAATGGCCGGCCCATGCCATGTGCAAATAAAACATACCATACGCTACACAACAGGCATATATATGGCCTTGTTTAGTTGGTGAATAGAAAATTTTTTTATGTTACATCGAACGTTTGATCGAATGTTGAATGAGTTTTCAAACAGGAATAAAAAAAACTAATTTCACAGCTCGCCTGGAAACCACGAGACGAATTTATTAAGCTTAATTAATTTGTCATTAGCACATACAGGTTACTGTAGCACTTATGGCTAATCATTGACTAATTGGGCTTAAAATATCCGTCTCGCGATTTTCGTGCGAACCGTGCAATTAGTTTTTTATCTATATTTAATGCTCCATTTGGGTGTTCAAAGATTCGATGTGATATTTTTGGGAAAAAAAATTTTGGGAACTAAACCAGGCCTATATATACGTCTGTAGTACGTCCAAATATCAGAAATACTATACCCTACAGCATCCCATCTTGAGAAGTGAGGACGGGATATTATCGGTCCATCCTTATCCCACCAGAAGCTCTCATCATCAAGCTCATCCTTATACCCACTAGAAGAGCTCCTCATCCTCCGTTGCTGTCACGCCCCGAACGGAACTAGCCCGTGACGCTCTAAATTAACCTGTTAATCGATACCAGTCCCAGGAAACAGTGCTGGTATCACAGGAAGACAAATTATCACAGCAA